CCATGGAGTCCCGAAGCAAAAAAACACACATACACACATAGATCCATACACTCGTGCAGTGCCATGCCATGCGACGTCATATTGAGTCCTGTCATCGTATGTCATCTCATGTCAGAAGCTCACAGCAGAAATGTGCACACGGCCACAAGCATCTGTGAATCTGCTCCCCACGCTGGCCGGTGGTGGGGGTGGTGGGGCGGAAGGGGCGGGGGGGGGGGGGGGGGGGCTGTGAACCTAGAACTGGGATCATCTATATAGCACAAACAGGACAGGTATTCGATAGAACGTTTGTGCACCTGCTGTAATGGTGACGCTACCTTTGAGATGTTGTAGTAACATACTGTGAAGGATGAGACTATGTAGCCATGCGAGTGGCTCTCCGGATGTAGATTGAGTCGGTAACGGTACGTATGAGCGCATGTCTTTCATATCAAAGCAACGGGGAACATCAAAGTTTTCAACAATCAGCAGTCAGACCCTGCATCGTAGGTTCGTCCTAGCCAGGCGGGAGACCAAAAAAGCAACAAGCTGCATGTCTCTCGATCTCTACACCCCCAGCAAGACCAAGCAACGACACGGCTGTGTACTACCCTGATATCGTTTCAATGCTTCGCACGTTATGGGGAAGGGTTGCTCTGAGTCGTCGGAGTCGTTCTGGCCATGATATCAAATAGAGGCTCGTCAGCACGCCTGTATGACCTCGGCAAAGCACGAGCAATGTGAGCAAGAAGAAGAAGAAGACGGATAAGTAGCCGACGATGAGTTGTGATACTGATGCATCTGCAAAGGCCAGATACTGGACACGGCCAGTATTGACTAAGCTCGGGCCCCCCCCTCCCCCACACCCAGTCCACACCCTCCCACCCCTGCCCGCCCTCCAGCCTCAAGCCGGCCCTGATGCCTCAAGCCAGCAGCCCAAACCCTTCAACCATTCCATGGAGAAGGAGGGCTAAACGTGGAAACTGCGGGCCCAAGCTGCTACAGGGAAGATACCACAGAGAGACCATCGAAGAAGGGGGAGGCCGGGGGCCAACCATGAAAAAGGGCTTTCCCGTGTGCAAAGGCCCGATACAGCACTTATGCGTATATTGGTGTCACATGTGTACGCATCTCGGTCTGCTGCAATGTGTGTGTGATTTCTCCGGCTCTCGTCATCCCAGGCGGGTCTTAAGAATCGTGAATGAGCCGACAGCTGCAGCCATCGCGTACCTGGGCCGATTCTCCGACAGTGTGGCAGTTGCAGTGGAACATTTTGTAAATCCGGTTGAGACGTGTTGAGACTGCTGCAGTGCCGACGGATATCGCTGTACGCAGACTGTGTACGTTTTAATGAATACCGTGGGTTGGTGCTGCGGTGTTTTGCATAGCTGCTAAGCTACTACAAGGATTAAGTATGGCGACTGCTCAGCTCTCATGGTATAAGATGCAGTAGTATGGAGTACGGCTGTATTGAATTTCAGATCACTCCATGTTACACATTCAAGCCCCTCTTTCGTTAGGTGCGTTTGTTTGTCGTGTTCTCAGTCTGAGAATTTTAACTATCCGTGGCAGGCTTCTGTTAATCGCCTTGTTGTCATTGTTGGCACTAGTTGAAGCACTCCGATCTCCCATCACTACGGCAGTAGCATTACTGTATTGCTGCACCCATATCAGTCGCAACAATACGTGGAAAACAGGCTTCCAGTTTGGGCGATCGAAACTCGCGAGCTGAGTGCAAAGCTGCAAGCGGAACGCGAGCCCCAACAGCAGCTGTCTCCATTGGCTTAAAGTGATTAGCACGAACCAGCAGCCTCTGCAGCGCAATCGCAACATGCTCTAGAGGTATGGTTTGGACAAGGACTCAGCCGAAGGAAAGAAGCCGGACAAGGAGCCGAAACGTCCGAGCAAAGTGGGCAAGGTGGTCTTATGTGCTAGACTTTTGCCGCGGCAGCGGCCATCTCCCAATTTCAGAGCGTCAGATGTTCGACTAAGGAAGAACTGCTCGTCTCATCTCCTCTCCCCCTGCATCCGGCACAACAGTACCAGTCAAGTGTGCGCAGCAGTTGAGCCGACGCGAGGATGAGACCACCACAAGCTGCTGCTTTCTTGATGTCGTTTGACCATGCAGGAGACGAACATACTTGTGTTCGACATGGGCGGCGGTACCTTCGATGTGTCTGTTCTGGCCATCCAGGAGCTCTTTTTGTTAAAGGCCCTCAGCGTAGAGCGCTCCTGGAAAGCAGAAGCGCCCGCTGAAAATGTGGAACTTTGGCGCCGACCCCTACCGAAAGGGATGCTCCGCAGATCTACATGATGGGTTCAAGATGAGGTTTCCTTGGGCTGCACAAGGTTTGCAGGGAACGGATGCTCGCACGGGCCTACCGACCTCCTTGACACTTCGTATGCATGCGAAAAGTCGCCCCGACCAGTCTCCATAAGATTATACTGGGAGTATTCAAAATACACATAATATCAATAATTTACACGATTTATCATACTAGTAATGTTATTAGTGTTGATTCCCCTCGCGTTGTCAGAGCATGCCAGCACGGCAGGATTCCGTCTTCGAAGTGAAGGCCACAGCCGGCGATCCTCATTTGGGTGGCGAGGACCATCAAACGTCTAGGTCTTTTTCAGGGGTCAGTCTCGCCAGAAGAAGACCACACTGCCAACAAAGCCCTATAAGCCCGAAAGGCCGCCTGGATGCACAGGTATTGCAATGAACATGCCCAACGACGTCAGGATTTCGATAACCGGATCCTCAGCCACTGCATTGCGGACTTCCGAAGGACCTCTGCAAATCAGGGCTGCTTGAGGCTTTCTCCGTCCTGAGTGCTTGCTTGCGCTACTCGAGCTGCGACGACGAGTACTACTACAATGAACCACTGCCGCTGCCGCTACCTGTTACCACTCCTACTTTTGCTACACTTCAGACGACTGTGACTACGACTACAGCTGCCGATGTGGCTTCGCTTCTGCAGCAGCAGCCGCTGCTGCCATCGCTACTGCCCGTGCTGCTATGGCGAGGATCAGTGCACTAGTTACCATGCAGCGATCATGCAAAACGAAGTTGTTAGCAGAAAAAGTTGCTTCACTGTCTATCTTATCGTCATCACCACTCTCCTTTTGATTAGCACCGTCGCCGTGATGATATCAACAGGAAGTTTGGAGCTGACCCGACGCGCAACCAACGCGCACTCCGTCGGCTGCGCACGCAGTGCGAGAGGGCGAAGAGGTCTGGGCTCGGGGCATCTTAGGCCTTAGGTTCCCCAGATAGGTCTGTAAGTGAAAAAATCAACAGCCCCAGCGCCAGCGACTATTCTTCCAGTTCTTTGGTCTCCAGAAGCACTTGCAACTATCTTCTGAGAACCCACAGACTCTGGCGGAAAGCCAACAGCCCATGTCTTTTCTGGGGTCTTAGGTCGGCGCAGACGTTCTTGCAGGGCTTCGTGCATGTGGCCATTAGGGAAGTAACGGGCACATGTGCACGATGTGCAACAGTAAACCCGTGCCGCAGTCAGCTACTAGTAAGTGCTGGTCTAATGGACGTGCTGGGACTTCGGCCGATGAATACTTCTCAAGGCTATCTGTGAAGGGAGATGCCTTGAAGGCCTGCAGAACGTCTTGTGCTCGGTTCAGACTTTTGTAGACAGGCGTGACAGCAGGCAGGCATATCCTCGATTGTGCTTGGATGCTTGGCTTCGGTGGTAGAAACAGAGCGCCGCGGCGTGGCTTTCTTGAAGAGCTTGCTGGAATTTACTGGAGGTGTTCTACAGTAGTACCAACCCGTGCACAGAGGAACACACTGTGCGCACATTGGTCAACCGTGACTGCACACCTTGTGAGCCTACCTGTCCTCAGGCAGCTGTCAACACAGACGTCCGTGACCATCGAGGTAGACTCCCTGCACGACTCATGGCACTGTCAAGGCTCCGGTTGATTTCCGCTTCTGGCTTCAGGGCCATGCAGTTCTTGGAGGGCTCTTGACCCTCAGGCCTGAGGGTGATTTCAGCTGGTACTTGTGGCAGCTGCAGCCTCTCCCAACCACACTGCAGTCCCTGGTGCTTCGCGTCTCAAGTGAGCATTGAGTGTGTGTAAACATTTCTCTCTGCGCGTGGGGGCGCACGGCGAGGACTGGCGATGTAAGTCGTTGCTAATGGCGGATGAAAATGATGGCTTTGACGGTGACCGCAGCGATGCTGAAGCTGACGCCAATGACGACATGATAGGCGATGAAGAAACTTCCTTTTCTCCGTCGTATGTAAGGTGGACATGCATGTGGCTACATATGTACGCAGCTATCACTGCATGTGTTGTGTATACATGCATCCTTACATGAATATAGACATGTTTGCATGTAGCTGTGGATACACATCGCAAAGATAGACAGATCCAACATGTCTATCTCCATGGTGTAAACCCTGATCGCTAAACCCTAAACTATGCGGAGCCTTGCCGGCCTTGTGCGAGTGTGAGAGTCGATACCCTAAACCCCACATTGGCACTCCCGACCCTGAATAAGGCAGAATGAAAAGAGGCTTAACAACACGAAAACTTAAATCCTAAAGCCCTAAACCCTGAATCCCTAAACTGCTCGGATAATTTTGTGAACTGATGTGGGGCTCTATAGTTTTGACTCGTGATGAGTCTTGGATGTTCTTGTTGCTGCCCCAAACCTCGCCTGACCTCGTCGAGCGCAAGTGCTACCCCTCCCCCCCCCCCCTATAAAAGTCCTATCATTACATCGACACGCTCGTAGCCGAGGATGGCAACGACTTCAGCCTTCGACTCTCCCGCGCCAAGTTCGAAGAGCTTTGTTTGGAGCCTTGGCGGTTCTGGGTAGGGCTTTGGGTTTAGGGTTCAGGGTTCAGGGCTTATAGGCTTTAGGGTTTTAGGATTTAGGGCTGGTCTTTTCAAGCAGTCCCAGATCAGTGGTTGCAGACAGTGCACCATGCTTCACTTGCTCTGCCATAAGCGCTGGAGTCAGGAGTTTGGCTGAAGGGATTCAGGGCTTAGTGCATTGCAGTCCCTGCTCAAAAAAGGCCTGGTTTAAATTTACGGTTTAGGGGCTGCGTACCCCTTAAGGAAATGGGACGAGGATTTAGGGTCCTGGGGTCGACACGTTTTCGGGGTCGACGGGCTTTAGGGTGTCATTTAGGGGTTTCCGGGGGGTATGAGTTGCGAACTAACCACAAGGCAATGAACTTGCGAATCTTCGAGTTGAGCTGCGAGGGTTCAAGGGTATAAGGTGCCTAAAGAGTATAGCTGTCATGCACATTTACAGGCATGAACAACAAAGACAAGGCATGCCTAAGCTATTTTCCGCACGTGGGGTACCTGTGGGCTCGCATCACTCATGCGAGGATTACTTCAAGAAGGCGATGGAGCCTGTGGAGCAGTGCCTCAAGGATGAAAGCTTCGGCTAGTAGACTTAGTAGATCTTGCTGGATGAGGTGTGGAGTGATTCCGATGGCGATAGTGGCACTTTCAGGCGATCAGTGTTGTTGTTTGGCCGGTTGCTTTGGATCTCCAGCTATCGAAAAGATTTCGCAGGACAGCAACCTACCACAGAAGGCGATCTCGGACATCGTCATGGTGGGAGGCCACGATCGATGCACTAGGTTGGCATTTCTCTGAACGTGCTAATTTGGGCAGCTGCTTTGAAGGCTCTACGCGCATCCCAAAAGTACAAGAGCTCATCAAAGGACGCCGCAGCGGGTCGAATCAAAAGCAGCGCGGAGTCTCCTATAGTCTCCTAGCACTGCGCAGCACTGGGGAGCTCCTCGAGATCAGGACTCAGGATGCTCTTGTTTGCAGTTTCGGCCCGAGAGTTTAGGTTTCGGCTCAGCTGAAAATCCGCAGGGGCCATGCCGGCCTATCAGAAAGAGCATGCCCGGCTACTCCGAGCTGAGATCACGGAGAACACGGAGGAAGGGGGGACGAAAGACATCGAGCGTGATGATGCACTTGTCACCTCAAGATCTCTTGAGCGCAACCCCTTGAAGATTGTGGCTCTGATCGCTCTTGTGGCAATGGTGGTAGGAGTGGCATTCGTGGCAGGCCGAAAGGTGACGGAGCGCAAAGAAGAGAAGGCAAATGAACCAGCGTGGCTTCAGCTTATCGCAGATGGCACTCCAAAGACCCAAGAACACCTGAAAGCCAATGCCAGTGAGACCTGTCACTCCGCACGTGCTGGTGACACATGTTACGGTGCCGTCTTGTGGCACAAGTGGATCGGAACCGTTGAGAACCCCTGGAACTACCCCAAGGGTGTTTCGAGGGCCTCCAACCGCACGGTCATCCAGCAGTACCTGCACGAGAGAAACCAGTCCGATTGTCCGCGGCCTTGTCACGAAGAGGCATATCCACTCCCGGCGGCCCCTCCGAAAGGATCGCCGTCGATCTATTGCTTCTCCGTGGCCCGCGCTGGTGGAGAGATGGACATCATGCACTTGCAGCGTCAGAGCGGAAGTGGTATTTTCGCCTGTGACGGCTTCGGGATCTACAGTGATGTGGACACGGAGATCTACGGCGTGAAGACCATCCCCATCGGCTCCACAGCATCAGGAGTCTCCGTCGATAATACCGCCGCCAACTCCCAAGTGTTCATGAGAACATGGCTTACGTTGTTAAACAACAACGACTGGTGGCACTACGACTTCATCGCGAAGGTGGACCCTGATGCAATTCTTTTTCCAGAGAGGCTCCGGCCACACATGTCGTGGCACGTTGGTGCCCCAGTCTTCTTCCTCACCTGCGGCAAGTACAGACCAGCACTGTATGGGGCGCTGGAGGTGTTTTCCAAGCAAGCCCTTGGAAGGTATCTTGCGAACCATGGGCGCTGTGAGCAGAGCTTGCCGTTTTGGTCCTGGGGCGAAGACAAGTACATGGCCGGCTGCCTAGAAATGTTGGGGGTTCAGGCCCTCCAAGACTACAACAACTTCCTTCGCGACGAGCGTTGCTGGGGTGTCGACTGTGGCAACAAGGGTGCTGTGGCATTCCACTCGTTCAAAGTCGTGAACAATTGGTACCGCTGTTACCTTTCATCGGCATGATGCACCAGTGCGTGGCGAATCTCGGGTGATTGGGCCTTCAAAGAAGAAGACTCGGTGTCAAACATCGGGTCTTAACCTGTCGGAACACGGATTTCTCCAGGTGTCTTGCACGATGGGAGTGCAGCAGTTTTACACTGTTACACCAAGCAATGCTACATCATCTATGTTGTGAATACTGAGGCTCCTGCATTGGTCCCTCGGCACATTATAGCCCACTGCACTGCAAACCTAGACCTAGACGTCGAAATTCAGTGTCGGCCTCGGCTCAAGGCAAGGCCTTTTGCGACGAGAGGAGAGAAGTTGTTTCGAGGTCGAGTGGTGATTGCCCTACCAGAGCTGAAGCGGGTTTCGAGACCCGAGAGTGAAGATGATTCAAGCCTCAGAATAAAAAGCAGTAAATAAATTAGTAGCAGTCATAATAACAATAAGGACCGGAAGAACCATTGGAGGCCCTGAAGCTTCTCTATTCATGAAGTGGTGTGCTTGGTTGGGGAGTCCTGTTCGCCCCGGCGAGTCTTTCGAGTGTATATTAACCATGAAAGATCCGCCGCTGGTGATGTGGGGATGCCTGGTCCGGAAACATCCGAGCCTCAGGCCTCCCCCTCTTCTCTGTGGGGCTGTAGGGCGGGCTCTGCTGCAGATGGAGTTTAAAAGCCCCTGCAAATCCGAAGGGGTCAGCTGCTGAGGCAGAAGATAGATAAATGGGTAAGGTTGTGGTCCGGGAATGCCGTGGGGTTACTAGCACACGGCGGCTGGTTGACCCTTGAAAGAGCCTGCGGCAGAATTCACCGGAATGGTTAGAGGCTTGATGGCCAGCACAACTTGGGCAAGCGTTAGTGTTGAATTCGATGTCATTCTTCGTTTCTGAGCTTAGATGTTGTCGCCTGGCCGAGCAGACTAGGTCTTAGCAGCGTCTCACTCTGATGTGACTGCTGACTGCCTCTTAAATGACATTCAGGGCTTAGTTCAGATGCTGACAGAGCATGAGCTATCATTGTGCAGTGGCACAGTCGGCAGTTTGCAGGTTGCTACATTGTGACAATTTCCTCGCTGGCTAGCCTGGTCGAGTAGCAGTTACGAAACGCAGCTGCAATCGCGAGTTGCACTCACCCCGTGCTTCTCTTGGCTGCCGAGTTCGTCAGTGCCCTTTCTCACCTCTTCCCTGAGACGTTGGATGCGCAGGACACTTTGGTGGAAAGGAGCTCTGCAAGAGCATCAACCCGGATGAGGCGTGCTACGTGCAAGGATGCGGGCCAGGGGTGTTTCACCTCACAGTATGGCTCCTTTCGACTCGCATCATGTCAAATCTGTTGCAGGCCGTGGCTTATGGGGCAGCAGTGCAAGCGGCCATTGTCTCCGGCCAGGGGCACGAGGATGTGCAGAACATGTTGCTGATGATGAAGTTTGGTGTGTGTGTACGATTCCGGCTGCTGCACCGGAAAAGGCAAACTTGAGCCGTCAATATCCCAATGTATTGAAACTCCGCCATTCGCAGATGAAGTTGGGAATCGGTTGTCAGATTCGGAATTACCGAGGCTGTGCATGAGTCTCTTTCAAAGACACCCGCCTTACCTTTGCTATCATATTCCTAGTTTGCTGTGCGAGTTTCTGCGGCCAGTCAGACTTCCGACGCGCAGCTCAGGCTCTTACTGGACGTGGCCCCTTTATCTCTTGGCATCGAAACGGCAGGAGGCATGATGCAGGCACTTCTGCGACTTCAGCTGGTCACGAATCTGGAAGCAAAACATGGAATCTTTCGCCAGGTGCTGATCGAGAGGAACAGCACGGTGCCCACGAGCAAAAGCCAAGACTTCACAACCTTCGAGGATTATCAGGCCTGAGCATCATTGAGACTATCAGCTTATAGTCCCTTTCGAACTAGAATCTAATGCCCTAGCCTGGCAGCAGCCTACGTTTAGGCTTTAAGAGGTTTACGGCAAAAAGGGCCAGACGACCGGAGAATGCTATGGATTTTCCACGGTTTCGGGTTTAGGGTTTTGGGTTTAGGATATCACAAAACCTGTGCTCCAGATTTCTCTTGCATTGCTCACCGTCCGCATGAAGAGCTCGGTTTGGGAACCTTGTTCTTGCGGATGTCGCAGGGTATGTGCAGCGCCCTGGTTTGGGCTGGAGGATGTGCTTCAACATGATGTTTGACCAGTTCTGGCGAGGACCATGTTGACATCTCCGTCTACGAAGGAGAACGTGCCATGGTCAAGGACAACAACTTTCTGGGAAAATTCACCCTGAAGGACCGGACGGGCTTGCATGCCGATGGTGGCTCGATCATTCGTTAAGACCAGCTTGAAGACTGACAGGCTTGGGAAGGAGGGGTTCGCGTAATGCCGACCTTCTGAGTCTTAGAGGGTGTCTGGGCTGCGAAAGAGAACGCCTAGCGGACTCAAGTACAACTGCAAGGTCTAACTGCCGTGACTGTCGACTGGCCGTGGAGCGCATCCATGAGACTCCATTATTACTACTATTACTCTTACTTTTATTACTATTACTACTATTACTATGATTAGTCTAGCATTATTAATATTACTTATATTTTCTTTAAGACCGATGTTTCCTCGCAGATTTCTGTGGAACTGCTGATCTGACAGGACATCCCGAAGTCCTTGCGTGGAGTCCCGAAGATCCAGGTAACCTTCACCATTGATACCAACGGCATTCTCCAGGTAGGGCTGTTTTGGGGGACCGGGGAAGGTGTCGCTTATGTGTGAACTGGATCATAATATCTATGATGGGGGGCTTGAATGCGGATTTTGTCGGAGATCATTCGTGCGCAGGTCAGTGCCGAGGATGCGAAGTCCCACAAGAAGAGCCGCTGGCCTACACGCGGGAAGCAGTTCCAACGAAGTCTCGCTAAACCGCATCTTATAGATCAGCGAGACGTTGTTTGCGTTGTTCCCGCCGGATCACCGTCAGGCGAGATCCAGATCGCGAACGAAAAGGGCCGTCTCACTCAGAATGACATCCAGAGGCTGCCCTAGCGCCGGATAGATGCACATGTATCGGAGGGCTCCGACAGGGGTTCTAGGAACGCAGGGGCTTGGGAGTGATGACGCATTTCCGACGTTGAAGCTGGGAGGATGCTCGTAGAGGCTGAGCAGCACAAAGGCGAGGATGAGATTCTTGGCTGCTCTGGCACCTTCGATCCTTTCACATACGATTGCAGGTGGTAGCTCTGATGCTCCTCCCAAGACTACTCGTTCTCTGCTGCTTCTGCTACAGCTGCTACAGCTGCTGCTACTCCAACGATGCTGCTGCTGCCGCTGCTGCCGCTGCTGCTCACCACCACTCTTACTCCTACGCTTATCCCGACGACGACTGCTACTACTGCTGCTAGTTGGCTTGCGATGGCGACGGCGACCACTAAGAGAATGACGGCGTTTATTCGGTGATGGTATAGCTCATGGCGCTGAACATGCTGAGGAAATTCCTGTTGGTGCGACTGGTGCTGATGCTGGTGAAGACGACCATGATATCATTATGTTGATGTTGCTTATGTCTACATAACCCAATAGCTTCACCCATGCATATTGACACCATGAATAAATAGAGAGAAAGCAGGCGACGGGGAGTGCGATTAGGGTAGTTACGATGATGACGGTTATGATGATGCTGAGGTTGTGTGATGCATAAGAGGTGGATGAGGGATTGTCAAACAGAGATTTTTAAGATCATGATGAGATGTTTCTGATTATGATGATGATGATGAGTCGCATTCCCATGACCAGCCTCAGGATTTCTCGTAGCGACCTCTTGGCAAAGGAGGAGTTGAAGGACCGGCTCTGGATGGCTAATAGATCCATGCTCTGCACCGCCCCTGTGATAGTGCCACACGCCGTCAAGCCAGGCAGCTCTCGTCAGCACACGGCATTGACAGCAACAGCAACAACAGCAGCAACTACTGAGCCCTCCTACTAAATGCTAATGCTGATGCTACTACTACTACTACTGGGTACTCCTGCTTGTCATCCTGCTGCTCCTGCCTTCAACACAGCAGCTACGAGCTACTGCTTGAGTACATTGAATTTGAATACTGCAAGAATTACGACTTCCAGCACCACCACTGAATCACTGAATCAGAAACAAATTGTCACTGTTACCACTACCACCATTCTTCTCTGTGCAGGTACAAGTTTTCACTTCTGTTTACTTCAGCCTGGGTCGGCCTTACTGTAGGGCCGCCCGCCCTGAGTTCCCCCTGAAAGGTCTACATGCAACGCTTCGAGAAGGGCTTCCAGGACCAGCGGAAGAGTTTCGATTTCGGCTTCACGGGGAGTGGAGTAAGGCGAGGGGGCCGGAGTGCCGAGCGAGAAGACTCAGAGTCGCAGAGTCGAGTGAGGCTTTCCGCACGTTATCCAGAGTCTGCCCAGGCAGGACACAAGACATTTCGGAATCACCGTTAATTGCAGAGATTGCGCCAGTAAATGCGATGGAGACAGCCCCAAAGTCCGGTTGGGTTTAGGACCTGGATGAGTCCAAGCTGCTTCCGAAAGATCGTGAGCGGCTTGAGCCTTGGAGAAGAGTGGCAAGTTAACGGCCTCCAACTGTACAGGTTCGTATCTTAACCCTGAACATTACCACTTGCTTTTGGAAGGATGCCAGCTAGAGCAGCCAGAGTGTGACGACATTCAATCTATGCAGAGCCAAGGAAGGCAAGCTCACGGACGCGCAGAAGTGGCTGGAGACAGAGGGGCTCAAGGCCAGGGAGGAGCAATACGCTGCACGGTAGGGACACTTGGCACAGTGCGAAACCGCAGGTGCTGCCATGTGCTTCCTGCTGTGCTAGTGGCTGCCAGTGCTACATTTGCTGCTGCTTCTTCTCCTTGTCCTCCTCCTCCTCCTTTTGATCCGCCTCCGACCCCTGTACTAATGTAAGGATACTACAGTACCAACCAGTAGCTGCAATCCCTGCATCGTAGGTTCGTCCTAGCCAGGCGGGAGGCCCAACAAACAACGGACACAGTTTGAATGACATTGGTTTGATTTTCCCCTGTCTTATACCGGAGAGGCCGGCAAGCCGGAGTTTGAGGCGAAGCAGAAGGAGCTCCAGGCGGCGATCAACACCGTCTCTCGGCCGTGTTCGGGAACCAGAATGCGCGTATGCCCAAGATTCACTAGCTTGTCGACACGAAGTGGAGGGGCATGTCGAAGTGCAGGGTGGCAGATGTTATCCGTTCCCCCATGTATCATCAATTGTTGGCCCAACTGTTGGCCATGTCTTGAACAAGATCATCTAAGTCTAGTTGTGGAAGCCATGGTCAGCCCGAGCACTTGCACGGCAATGGTTGCCGTACATCGCTTCAGCCTGCGGACCCTGGATCTCGATTTCTAGTTATTTGTGCTTCAAGACGATCGGGCTGCAGCCAGCTTCCGAGCCGTAGAACAATCAATCCCAGGCAGTAGTGAAAATCGGAACTCGGAGCATTTTCATTCATCTCTGGCAGACCAGACGCAGTGAACTGTTGGGTTTACTTGGAGGATGAGGTGACTTCGTACGTGCAGTATTACAGGTTCTATTCTAAGCATTGAACTCTTTGGACTGTTTGTTGTGGGCCAAGGTCATGCTGCGGATCAACAGGGCCCAGGCTGAATTCTGGGACCAACAGGCTACTGTGACTGTGCAAGGGGTCCGGCTGGTTAAGGAATCTCTTCGAGCTGAAAGTCTAGTAGACATACAGTGTTCTTTTTGCTGGAGTATGCTATTGACCTCCAGGAGGAAGTTTGTTGCGCAGGCTGGTAGAACAAGCCCCGATAGGACGTGAAGTATTGCGGGTACTTTGTTCTGCCGAAGCCTTCCCACAGCCTGAGATTTCAGATGATTCGCTGCCAGCGGCTATTGGAAGGCCTTTGTCCTCGCTTCATGCACAAAAATCCCGAGGTTGTGCAGCATGAGGGTGAGAAGAGCATTGCCGACGGGGGCTTCATCCTCCAGTGCGGCGTGGACATCCGTGACCTGATTGAGGATCCTCAGTGATCTGGTTTCTTTGGCTGCATCCCAGGCCGTCCTCAACACTTTATGCAGAGCACGTACAGTGGTGCTGTTGAGGTCAAGGGCACACAATTGCGGTTCCATGCTGTGTCAAGTAGAAAGGTCTGCGAACGGCTGTATTCCTCGAGCAGCATTTCAAGCAAGGTCGGCAGGTTGTGACAAGGTCAAAGGCACCGAGTGGGTCCTACCGTCCTAGCCTTGCTTTCGTGTTCGGACTGGGGAGAGTCGGGAGAGCAATAGTAGTCCATACTTAGGCTGCTTCTCAATCAATGATGGCTGCACAGAGAACACATCACAACCCAAGTCCCTCGCATACAGTGGAGGTAACGAGCGAGCAACATACAGCTCAGAACGTGCATAATCGCAAGAAGAAGGGTGGCAGAAATTGAATCGACCTGCTAGGTCTCGAAGATTCGAAGAAAGGATTCCCACATCAAGATGGCAACCGAGCACTGAGCAGGAAGAGGAGGACATGAAGGAGGCTGCAGCAACGGCCTGCAACTCCATCATCGCCGGTGATGGAAGGTTCGACAAACATACCTCTTGTAGCCAGATTTGTGAAGACGTCGTTTAGTCAAACCGAGGCTGAGTAAATACCAAAAAGAAACGCTCACTTTCATCCCTGGGCGCTCCGGATTTGGCAGCAACAGCCCATTGAAATCACTGCAGTGAAGACCAGCTTGCTGTGAATCAGCGCTTTTCCGCTAGCTCCCGAGCTCCACCACTGTCCCTGTAAAGGGGACATATGCTCATAGAGATAATGGGCATGGGCGTCAAAAAGAAGAGCTGCTTAGAGAACGTATTGCTGCTGGCACAAAGGGCACCCGTCTTTGCACCTTTGCCACACTCAATCGAGCACGTCGCGAGAGACGTCTGGCAGTCTTCGGTATGCCGGTATAAAAACTACCACGCTTGCACATGTGTAACTAAAGGCAGGAATTCTTATGTTCAGCTGCCAAAGCCAAGTCTCGATCAAGCGGTCAGCGCGTCAGGATCCTCATGGTTTGCCATGAAGTCTTCTTTGCATAGATGGTGTCGATCCAAAGCCTAAACTCTGTCAAGTCCGACTGCGAGAGCAATAAATCCCAAAATCCCCTTGGAGACCCCCGTATACCCTAAACCCTCGCCAGGCTTGTCCCAGTTGTGAGTGCTGAAACCCTTTTTTACCCTAAACCCTATATTTAGGGAAAAAACCCTAAACCCTCATTCTACTTGGAGCTCCAGAGACGAGGTGCGGAACCCAGGTTCGGAAGCGACGGGGTTTTGTTAATCTGATGTTCCCTGTACTCCGTAATATTAAGTACAAAAGTTATGTTGTACTACTACATCTTGTATACTTGCTGCTACGGCTACGGAGTGTAGGGAGCCATTTTAATTACGCACACAATTCTCGACTACCTGAAGGCATCAAGCCGCCTAAAAAGCAACAGGACTGCACCATGAAGGACAGTCCACGCGACTGTCCAGCCATCAAATTGAGCTTTAACTTGGGAATGCAAAACATAGAAATCAAGGCCTGTTGCGATTCAGCTTCTCTTTGTCAGACCTGGCATGCAGGTAGCAGGACTAATGAAGGCCTGTCGCCTGTCGAACTTGAACCTGTACTGGCCCTGCAAAACGGATTTCCGTACATGAGCACATGTGCCGTTGGAAGCAATCTAAGACGCAGATAATACGTATATATATATATATATATAGATGGATGGATAGATAGATAGAAAGAAAGATAGATAGATACATGCTCTCTACCTTCTACCAATAAGCTATCTGTTTATCTATCTTCCGATCTACCGATGTACCGATCTACTTCTCTACCTATCTATCTATCCTATCTATCTATCATCTATGAATAGATCTGTCTATCTATTTATCTATCCATCTATCTTTGAATGGAGAACCGTAGACTCGAAGCCCAGCGGTGCTTCCTGCAGCGTTTGGCCCAGAGGGGCCCTTGCGGGCCCCGGGTCCCCGTGGGTTCCCAGCCATGGACCCGAGCATCATCCTCAACACCCTGACCGGCATCGATGCAGCATGGCTGTTAAACTTGGGTTGTAGTCACAGTGCAAGATTATCCCCCTTGTGCAGTCCCTACACAACTGTCTTTGGATGTGGCCCCAAACCTCGTTCCAATGTATCTAGTATATTCTAACTGGCATGTTTTAAGTATCAAGGCTGCCGGGATAAGCGACCCGATCGGTACACGGATTTGGGATGTCGGTGGGCGTGGCGGAAGGTCTGAGAGCATTTCACAGCTATGACACCGGCACACGATGATGTTTCCTCTTGCAGAACCGGGGTCCCTACATTACCAGATGCCTGCAGACTGCTAGCAAAGTCTGGGCAGCCAAGGATAGCATTCTGGCGACAGTTCTGGCTCAGCTCATGCAGAGCAAGCCAGAGCTTGCCCCAGGCCTCGTCAATGCCGCTGGCCGGCACTTACAAGCTTGCCTTTGCGGCATGGCTTTCCAAGCTAAATGTTTATGCCAGCTTCTCGTTAAGACGTTATATACTATGTCACTATGTTATATTTTGGAGGCGACTCCCATCCGGCGCGGCAAGCCAGCAATGTAGGTTCCGCTTGCTCCGACTTCAATCGCAGGTCTGCGTTCCGGACTTGACCTTCGCGCCGAGCAAGGCCTTGACGGAGAAGCGCTGCATAGGCACCGTAGCGAAGCTGAACCCAGCACCTCGGCACATGGCATTCGTGTATCTGCTGCTTAGCCTTCCGAAACGACGGTGGTTCATGCACGCAAGTCGTCACACATCTGTGACATGATAAGGCGATGGGTGTGGGCTTCATCAACTGCCCCGAGCTAAGCGCAGCACCTCGGACTGTAGCCTTCGGCCAGAATCTCTGATGCCCCAAATCCGTAACATACTCTGCGATGCTGTCATATTGATGACTCTGCACCTAGAACGCTATAAATCCTTTCGAAACGGTGGTGTCGAACCAGCGAACAGCCGACCTCCTCGTGACGATGAGTCTTTCCCGAAAAATCAGGGCATAGGTGCGACATGGCGCGACAACAGGACAGTGCATGCATGTTCTTGTCCATTAGCCTTTTTGCGGGTTAAGTTCCTTTTATGTCGTTTTAGAGGGGTTTCTGCAAAGCTCCCTAGATCGTAAACGCCAAAACCCTCAAACAGCCTGCGATGTGAAGGTCTTTGGCTGCGACGTGACAGTCAAAGCACTTCAGCTTGGGGGCTTCGTCGAAGGCGGGGCCAACCTCAAGCCGGAAACCGGAGCACGAAGGTGTGCAGTGTGTATCTATATACATACATTATCTGTGCGTATGTATGTATGCATGTATGTATGTATGTATGTAAGTCTGTATGTATGTATGTATGTATGTATGTATGCACGAATATGTATGTATGCAAACATGAACTTGTATATATGTGCACACCTACACATAGCTCTCTCTTCCTCTCTTTCTCTGCCTCTCCCGCTCTCTCTCTCTCTCTCTCTTTCGCTCTTCTTTCTCGCTCTCTCCCTGTGCTGCCTTATACGGCGACCACCGCATGAAACTGTCCCTGCCATGACTAGGCCTGAAGCGCAGGTAAGCACGAGAAGCTACCCCAAAACACACGCCGGACATGCCTGAAAGCAACGTGCAACGAAACATCTATGGTTGGCGTAACAAGTTTAAATAAGTAAATAGATAAATGTATATCTGTACTCTATATATATATATATATATATATCCCTCTCTCTGTGCCTGCCGCTGAAGGACAGGAGGTAAACTTCGCCGTGACTTTGAACGATGAGAACAAGCCTCAGGCCTTTGACTTGGCAGACAACAAGACGGGGATGAACGGCCAAATCGGGTGCATGGGCTGTGGAGGGATGCCTTCCATGGGGGACATGGGCCCCGGTTGTGGGATGGGCTGCGGCATGGGCGGTTGTGGCTGTGGCGGCTGTGGCTGTGGCGGGGGCTGTGGTTGCGGCTGCGGAGGCTGTGGCTGCGGCGGGGGATGTGGCATGGGGGGCTGCGGCTGTGGTGGCTGTGGCTGTGGTGGTTGCGGCTGTGGCTGCGGAGGCTGTGGCTGCGACGGTATGGGTGGCGACATGATGGGGATGATGCCGCCTCAGCTGCTTGCGTCCTGAACTTCACGGTTTACTGAAAATATGACAGGCACAAACCTCCAGCACTACGTTACTAGTTTCTACGCCTGTTCCCTTTGGGTCTCTCGCAGCTGTCCCGAGGAATGGGCCTATGGGTGGCATGATGGGAGGTCCACCGGGTGGTCCCAAAGGCGGTGGAAAAGCCAATGAGGAAGTCCTAGGCCCAGCATGAAACGGCGGGACCGGCTTGTGAGATTTCATGAGATGTGGAATCTTGATCCAATAGTAAAGTGGGCCTGTTGACGCTAGCCGCTAGCAGGGTCCTCGGCAGAGGCTGGCATTGCCAGCGTTGTCCGACCTACACGGGCTAGCAGGACTAAGACCTAGCACATGACTCCTGCATCCGGTTCCCAGAGCGGGGAGAAATCTTCAGGTTATTGCATGTAGAGTATGTGCCCTCTAGCCCATGGATGTTTTGCCATCCCAGGTCCTAGGAGAGTTCTATGGGATCATCAAGAGCTACAACCCGGAGAAAGGCTGGACCGGGCCTGCACATGTTATCACTGGCTGTACGGCAAGTCTTGCATGAACTAACAGTCCCCAGAGCTCCATGCAGCGACCCGAAACCGGATGGCGAGAGATCTATTGGAACCCGACGGCATGCTCTGCGCTGACACCGTCCAAATTTTTCGGTGCACTTTTCACATGCACAGTTTGGGATACTACCTTGCAGGCTTCGGCTTCATTGCCTGCGATGCGCTGAAGCAGCAGCACGAGGGCGATGTCTATCTCAATAGCAGGCTCGGATTTTCTCAAGTGTGTGGGTGTGTGTGTGTGTGCGTGTGTGCGTATAAACATATATTCCGATGTGATTTCTTTGTTTGTTGCAGACTTTGATAACCATGCGGAGCCGTGCGAT